CCCGCTTTGGCGCCGTAGATTCAGATCTCTGCCATACCTGCCGCGAGCGGGAAACCGTGTCTCACTACCTCTTATCGTGCAGAAGGTTCCTTAGACAGCGCGACGCGCTCCGCCGCGCGCTATTCGCAGCCGGGCGGCAGCCCCTCAACAAGAAGACGCTCCTCGGGAAACCCAAAAACCGCTCTCTACTCTTGGAATTTGTGCGCGCCACAGGACGCTTTCCACAGTACAACGACGAGGCAGGCCCTCCGGATACTCAAGATAATTAGACGGAATACCAATGCTTTCTCTTTAGTTATTTATTCATTCCTCTCGCTGATATATGCCTACAGTCCATCCTCTATGCCCTATGCTCCCCCTCCCCATGTATTCCTCTCGGGACCACATACCGTCCCTTCTTTCGGCACCGTACCACGGGCACGCCACCTCTACTCCTTCCAAAGTAAACCCTCGCTCCCCCACACGACCCATTTCCACATCGAAACTGTCATCACTGCTCTCCAACCTATCTATCTACGTACCCTGCGTCCTGTATCATGCGGTTCTATTGCCAAAGATGGCCGTACACCGCTGATCTCGGTCGCTGGGAAGTGTGACGCGATGCAGGGCAACTGCACGTCGCACGCGCGGCCTTCGCGCGTGCGACAGTCTCCCACGAGGTTTTACCCTGCGACCTCCCTTTAATGGGTGGAGATCTTCTGGTCGAAAGCCCACACAACCGCGTAGTATAGATGAGCAAAGTAGCCACATAGGCCGTAAACGGCCTGAGCGCTACTATAATATACTTGATTTCATCATTCATCAACACCGCCTCCGACATTTCAGCAAAAATATTCACCACCCTAATAACCCTGATTCAGAAGTTCACATCTCGATGCCTACAGAAAGGCATCATGTTTCCCAAAAGAGAAGTGGCGGGCTCATTTGATTTTTCTCTCATTTCTCGCATTTCCTCCTAAGTTGTTTGGCGTTGTTTGGCAAATTTCCAACGGCCAGACTCGCGCACGAGGACAAGAATGGTCACGCTGTTCTCACTTGAGAAATGGTCTGTGAGGTCCAATCTGTCCATTCACAGATACAGGGAATATTTGACCCCCGGCGAAGCGAGGAATTGAATATCTTGTGAACGAACACAGTCGCCAACCGGGGATTTCGGTTCAGAAGTGAAATTTGCATGGATATTTTGTTTGGATGTTTTTCAGTTCCATTGTCGCAAACTGGTCAAGAATTCGGATAAAACCCCGCCGTGGGGAAGGCCTGTTTAAAATTTCCCTAATATGGGGTGAGATTGTGTGGACAGGACCATGTATCCAGAGTTAAAGGTGCCGAAAATCTTCAAATTGCTCAATGCTCCTGCTAACATCTTATTTGCGGTCATTCGGGCCGGAAATGAGCCCAGAGGAGAACATAATAGCACCACTGTAAGTGAGAGGCACCATAGCCGGCCCGCGGGATCACCCTATATGAATACGGGACTGGTTCTGACATTGAAGAAATCAGCCGTGCAATGATCTGATACTGCTTTCTAGAGGTCTAACAGTTGAGTCATGGACGAAAATTCGGCAGATACACGGCATGTTCGATTTGCCATCAACAAGCATGAGGAAGGCAGCTAGTTCCTCTTTCGTTTGCGCTCAAGAGGTCGTGTCCATATTTGGACAAGTCGACTGCCAGGGCACTGCACTAGCGTCGTTTTTTCACTGGGCCTGGAAGCAGGGAAAAAAAAAAAAAACGCTGAGGCACAAAGAGACACGCAGTACACTTGTCAATCAAGAGATTCAGACTGGTAAAGCAATCATTCACCACCATGGTGAGGGTCCTTTTGGGCGTTGTGGAGGTGGATACCATTGTCCTTCGAACCACCAGCACATGTCGTCTATCTGTGACTCCAGAGGTCCTGTTCTTGCCCGCCGTCCAGGTTGCAAATGAAGATGACGGAGATAGACACAAACCCAGACGACGAGGGAATTGTTTCTAATGTCCTTGCCGAGGTGTGGGCTCAAACAATGTTATGCATTTATTTATTTACATCTCTACATAAGTTCGGCCATGGCAGAAAAGCTCAAAAGGATCAAGGTCCATCCCATCTGCTGCTAACATGTCGAAAATGTCCATATCGGACTCATCAGGGTGATAATTTGCGAAATAGAATTCCCCGACAAATTTGAGCGTGAACGACTGCAGCTTCACGCAGTCGACCTCGGTACGCATACGGCGCACCCGTAACATCGCAACAAGTCACTGAAACCATGGCTGAGGGGGCAAAGAATCTTCAACGTAGATCTCAAAATGCGAGAGATTTGGCAGGAAGTTGTTGAATGGGGCCTCGCTGAGGATGGCGATGAAGTCATCCTGGAACAAGTCTTCGGAGCCCCTCAGCGTGAGATTGGAGAGGGTGGGGAGCAAGTGGAGACATCCTTCGATGGTTGGACGTGGCCATGGGGTATCCCCGGTGCGGAGGGTCAAGCTGACCAGGGGGGGTGACGAGCGAGCGAGAAGTGAGACAAGCCCAGGTGCATGGGCGGCAGAGCATGGGATCTCCAGCTTCTGCAGACCGGGCAATGTGAGGAATGGCAAGAACAGGGCGTTGCTAACGTCCCGCTTCATCTGGAGCGATTTCAGACTGGGAAGAGTGATGCGGCGATCATTTGGGGTTTTGCACTCGGGGTCTTCAACCTCGAAGAACAAACAGGAGAATGCACACTCGGCAATGTTCAAAGCAAAACGGAAGATCCGTAGGTATTCCTCCACTCTGTGTCTGTGCCATGCATACATAATTAGTCCCGAGGAGACAGAACTGTGAAACGAGAACTTACTTTTTCGATCTCCCGTAGATGGAACGATCCTCAAAGTGCACCGTTTGCAAATGATGCGCAAGTCGGACGACGAGGTCAGGCACATGAAGTCCGCTCATCGTCAGTGGAATATCAAGGTCGCAAGAGAGATGTCTCTCCGGGACAGGGTTCGCCTTCTGGGTTGCATATCTCGCGATCCAGGTACGGTATGGGCGACCATCACTCTGCGCAATTCGGTCGTGTTTAGAGACAGACGCACTCGGGAGTTGGGGCGTCATACCGAATAATCATAACCCCGAACATGGAAAACAAGATCCGTCCAGAGAGCAGGGTTAGACAATGCAACACCCGTCCAGTACTTGCAAATACTGAGAAGGAGAAGAGGGGCACGCGATGCGGCGTCAAGCTTTCCAGGGTGGACGTCGGAACGGTCGGGAAGGCACATGACGAAGATTTCTGAGGCAATTTCAGGGGGCGCGCGCATTATTGGGTCAAGGAGGTTTTTGGCCTGGGGCGGGAGCGTGGTCTCCATTATGAAGTGGGGATAAAGTTGGGTAGAAGGAAGCCGGATTTCTGCTTTATGACGTGGCATGACTTCCTTATAAGGCTAAATTGACTTTTTATTTTCCCACGCTATCTGAGACTGCGAAAACGGCGTTTTTTTCCATGGCGGTCGTTTTCGGTTCTTTTTGGTCAAGATTTTTCCTGAAATTTTGTCTGGACGGCCGGCCCTGGCCTCCAAAGGCATCAACAGGGGTCCTGGTCCTGATCATTAATGATGGCAGTGGGTGACCTGTTGATCACGCCATGTGACCAGAAAGTTCAGAAAAACTCAACCAACTTTGAATCAGTAACTTTGAGGAAATTCAGCATCCTATGGTGCTCAGGACTTTTCGCTCCGAGTTTTACCTCTATTGCTTATCCCTCTTACAAAAGTGTTTCTTCTGACATTTCGCACAGATCTGTAAGATAAAATTTTATTTGGATCAAAATTGAGTGAGGTAAAAAAAATCTCGCCTTCAATTTGGCCACTGGCGGGGGAAATAATGAAAAACGTCGCGGATTATGGCTGTGTATAGGGCCAAAATTTTCTCCGGCCGATTTGGCCTAATTTTTGATGGCGGCAGCTAGGTGACCGACCGGCACCATAGCACTGCCCGACTCCCAAAATGTGTTGATTCTAAAGTATGAAGGTGATTCGTCAACATGTACCACTAATGTTGTGTGGGAGGAGCTTCTGTTGTAAACGTATATACCTTGAATCTCAACAGAGAGTTTGCGCTGCAGCCATCAGAACCATCTGATGGCTGTTTTGCAGTGCGCAAATTGATGGCTCCGAGTTGCGAGGTCAGTTTTGAAAGGATGATAGCTTGGGCAATTCTTATCCCTCATGCACAGTCTCGGGCCCTTCCCATATCTCAGTCTGTCCACAGTGGCTGATTTATTTCGAAAATTCCGATTGCCAGGGATTTTCGTGTGCTAAGGACATCGAGAAGATGGAATTTGAGGTAAATATCCCCATCCACTGCTGAGAGGTATTTTCACCGTCTGGAATACAAAGAAGAACATCATATCAAAATTTAGACGCCCAAGGAGAAACGTTGAGAATTGAGTCACGGCGATTTATATCTTGAAAACGGACCAAAAACGAAAAAAAAAAAAATCGGCCGCACCCGAAGTTCCGCAAATGGCTGTAAACATTGTACAAGATGTTGAAATTTCTCAAAGTTTATAGTAGCATTTCATTTGAGGCAATTTGGCCCAGAAATGAGCCCGGACCATGATGTCCATTTCTTTTACCGCCACTGTATATTCCAACTCAAGCTTTTCTAAGCGCCCGAACCGAATATTTTGGGCGCTGAACTCCCCACGAGCAAGCCATTCAATTCATCCGGCACCCAGAGCCCAAATTCTGATTCTGAGCTCCCTGTGAGCAAGGCATTGATGCGGCACCCAGAGCCGAAATTTTGATTCTGAGCTTCCCGCGAGCAAGCTTCTTCCGGCAATTGATTTGGGCACATAGTTCAACATAAATAAATAGGCCAAGAATTTGGGAAAAAAGAGCGCATCCGAAACCGCAAGTTGGACCCCGGGCACTTGTTCAAACCTTGAATTCATCTTATCCTGAGGATAAATCTCATGGATGCAAGGCAATTTCAAGGGGAGAACAAACGCCCGGAGTTCGAAGTGCAAATTCGGATGAAATGACAGACCCCGGGATCGAACCAGAGACCCTCTCATTACGTGAGATATGTCGAGAGGGTAATCCAACTGAGCTATTCTGTCCATAGGCACCATCGTAGTCGGACTTGTCGATCTGGTGAGCACCGATGATCCTGACATCATTTCCGCATGAATCCTTTGCCTTAGGTCCTCCACCCTATGTGGTGGATGTCCCAAATGAGACATAAACCCAGCCTCGCCCTCAGCTCTACCTCGGACCCCCACAGGGCAGCGTAATGAATCCGACAACAAAAAGTACATATTCGAGTTCTAGCATCTGTGGACCAACTTGAACCTTGCATTCCGCAGACTCCTCGAGGCATTCAAAACATGCTTCGATCTAGGTGAAGAGCGCGAGCGGTATTCTTTAACCTGTTTCATGTGCCATGGGTCCTGATCAAAATCGTTAGACTGCGCATTCTTGAGCTTGAGAAGCAGATAAAGACAGTTGCGGCCAGGTGCAACCACGCAATAATTTCTCTCCAAGCACCAAGTAACAACCAACCACAGTTCTGCCATTCCGAGACAGTTTACAGCTAATGTCAGTACCGAAGGCGCGGCGAAAAAAATTACCATTTCGCTACTCACCGGGAAATCTGCGGACACTTGTGAGCATAACGGACAGAGATGTGATGGAGTGTCGGATCCATCACTAGCCACTCAACCAGTCTGGATCCGTCTCTCAAATATGGAATGCCCTTCTGTGTTCCTCCACCAAAATGTTCACCACATGCCAGCCAACTTTCTCCCTGCATATGGGAAATATTTCGAGAACATGAGGGAGCAGAGGGTTCAAATTTGGCAAGTGCTACAACTTGGTCAGATTTTTCGTAGAAATCCCTTCAGAAGGACCCTTTGGGGAGGAAACGCGACTCCTTGGGTTGGTGAAGGGATTGCAAAACACATTCTCATTCAAAACCCCGTTTCCCGGAAAACCTAGTCCTGCGGTCCGCCTTGTATGCAAGTACAGATCATTCATTCTGCTAAAGTATCTCTTACAGTGTATGTCCCAGATATACGGTTTTAGCTGTACGCCGGGGTTTTTTCACCCGAGTGATCGGAATCTGACGTTCCTCAAGCGCCTACACGTCGGGTTTGGCAGCTGCGGCCACCTCTCTTCGACCTCTCTGCAATAACCTGGACGGCATACCGGGACCGTTCTACCTGACCATATGGAAATTTCTCTTTGAGTAGTTAACGCGTACGCAAGTGTTACTTTCCACTTGTTTCGGTCCTGGGGTGTAATCATGCTTCGGCGCCACATTCGCAACCTATTTCGTTTCCAAGGGCTATGTTCCCAACCCATCCCGTCCCCCCTCTTGCAACCCGCCAGATTGCGAATTTCGGGTTTTTAGACACCTCTCATATATATGTTTCGAGCATTTTAATCACACACACATAGTTCACACGGTCACTCTACCATACCCACCTAGCTTGTTCTATTCTAACTGAATAGACACTTGGTTGGCATTTTCACGGGATGGCTCTGCACTGGTCTCAAGCAAGAAGCATTAATTAAGATACAACTTCTGGACTTATTCAATGTTCTGCACCCCATATCTTTCGGCTCACGCCACACGCAGAGCTCTGGGTCCAGTGGCATACATGCAACGCATCCAGGAAATCACCTGCGACAAGTTTTAGCCTGGGCCATCGAGTGCGTATTGATTACCCACCTATTTTTTCTCCCCACATACCTTTTCGAGCATTTTAATCACACGCACATAGTTCACACAGCTATTCTACTATACTCACCTAGCTTGTTCTATTCTAACTGAATAGAAATTCGTTGACATTTTCTCGGGATGGCTCTGCACTTGTCTCAAGCAAGAAGCATTACAGCAGATGGCAGTACCGAAGGCGCGAATCAGAAAATTGCTGTTTGGGCATTTTCTGATCCCCGCCACCGATTCGCCCGTATCTCGATGAGTTCTGCACGGATTGAGACGAGACATAGCTAGATAATTCGAGGTAATTCGTGCGCATTTAGTGATAGAAAAAAAAGTTGCAAAAATATTTTATAGTTGGTGAGCCGGGTCTGGGGTGATTTTGGGGGTCAATTCAATCTACCGCCATCTAGGCATGTTCAAATGACCTAGATTTTTGTGAGGGAAGAATTTCATGCATTTTGAAACTTGTGATAGAGTTACAATCTTCAATATCCTAGTTTATTGTGCTTGTAATGACATCGAGACAATGGCAATACACTGCAATCAGGAAACATTGTGATATTTGAATCCACTGCTGAACTCTTTGTAAATCTGACTCTATCACATCTTTCGAAATGTATTAAAGCCTTCCCTGACAAAAATCTGAATCATTTGGATGTGTCTAGATGCCTGTAAATTGTATTCATCCACAAAATGGCCCCTTAAACCAATGTCACTGAATATATAATATTTTTACAACTTTCGTTCCATCATTAATTCCACACGGATTAGTTGAATATTTCTATATAGGTTTCACATGAATCGGTGCAGAACTCACTGAGATACCGGGAATTCTTAGAAAATATCCCAAAACAGAAGATTTTTGATCCGCGCCTTCGGTACTAGACTGATTCGATGTTCTGCAAACGACCAAAGAGTAAACTCTCTAGAGTTCTGACTCTATCACATATTTCGCAATGTATATAAGTTGGTCCTCCCAAACAAAGGTCCTTTAAACATGTCTGGATCAGACTAGGTCACATTCACCCTCCACACAGTTCAAAATCCTAGATTGTCCAATATGAAATATTCTCCGAAGTTTCTCGCTATCCCTAATTGCGCAACACGACCTCCATCTTGTCTGTGTTTGCTGGTAGCTGATGCTTTCATTTGTGAAACTTGGCCCATTCTCTTCCTTCGTTCCCTCGATCATTCGTCACATCATAAACATGGTCATCGGAGGCAGAACACAATGCTTGACTAGAGTCCCGGGCATGCCAAAATATATTGAAAACACACTGATCCAGGCAAAGCAAGTGTTTCTTTGGGATGGAAAAAAGGCCATGATACTATGATTTTGGGGATCACTGACGGCGGAAAACAAATCTTCGATATCCCCGTCAGGAATGAAGCAATTGATCTGTGGAATTGGCAATCATACCTGATACAGGGAGATGAACGAGCATCCTGGTGCAATTTTGTTGATTATATCTTAGAAAGATTCCTAGAGATGAGCTACTTGAATGTGCGACCAGGTCAAATTTTGAATGTTTTCCTACAAGACATATAGACATCCCAATCTCACAAAAAAGTCCGCTGCCAGAAGAAATCAAGTGAATGGTCCGGGCAGCCCGGAAATACAAAATAAAATTCACGGGTTTGTCGGTTCACAACAACGTGAATTAAAAATGACCATTTGGAAACACCCGGCCACCAACAAGGTGCAGCATCAGTATGCATGTCACTGCGATACTGCCAAATGGCTCAGATTAAACTAATGGTGCGTAATATCTTGCCGCCGTTGATCACCGTACATACTCCTGTCTCTGCTCTTGGCGGCAACTCTGTATGCAAGGAAGAATATGAGCACGACACATTCGCGTCCGACCCGCGTAGCTAACACTGGTAGAATTTTATCCTATGGATCAACCTAGCTTAGGAAGATATTCAACCATCTTTGGATTGCATGCAGGCAAAGCCTAAGCATGACCCTCTGGCTAATATTACGGCTTCTCACGGGCAAGCACGGCGTTGAAAGGAAGGGTATGATGTGTTTGTATTCACTTCGAGATCCGGAGTTCCTTAATGTCATGCATTCACATCTTACATGGGGTTAGGTGGAGTGACTATCAAAATCTAGCTGGGATGTTACTCAGGCCATCAACGGCAACCGGCCGGCAGTCTATATATATATGTTTTCGTTTTCGTTTTCGTTTTCGTTTCTTGTATATACTCGTTGGTCCTCCCAGTAGATGAGATAAATGATGACTGGCAGTTACCCGTGTCTTCGCCACGGTTGTATGTTTGGATTCGAGAGGGCAAGCACGCTGGAGTTCACATTTCTGTATGCTAATCATTCGTATCTCCCAACCTGCGCAACCGAGTCCGAAATTCCGCCCCATAATGCTCCTTTCAACGCTGCCCATTGCTTTTCCCATGAGAGGTTAAGATATCCTTTACCATCCCTTCAATCTCCCTGATTTTCGCTCCCAAATCACCAAGCAGCATTCATTGGTTCATTCCGCCTGCCCACATCTTCTGGCTTAGTTCATCAGTCTGTGTCGCACACGCCACCTTCATGAGTAGAGCGGAATACACTCTCTTGCATCCTTGTGGGTTCGGAAGTCCGCCTTTGTTTTTTCATGACCAATATCTCAAGATTGAGTTCAAATTTCGGCCCTAGAGAAAATCCCGCCTTTATGTGGGTTCTTTGTATCTTCATTCTACCTGTGCATCGTCGCAGATTTCAACAACATACAACAAATCAACTGCAATTGAGTGTATTAAAGTAGGATAAACATAAATTCATGTCCATGTTCTATTATCCTGCTCCCCTCCCGCAGGCTGACGCGTGTCGAAGTTCAACAGCGCTTCGGCGAATTCGGCCGAGCCGCAATGTTCAACCTCTTCGAAATCTAACTTGATGTTTAAGCTCCTGGTTCAATATCTCTGAACTCACTGTTTTAAAGCCCTGCTTAGTTAATCGTCCCTTTCCCCGAGCCATTGTACTCCGGTATGGTTCGAAATTCAAAGCTCTGTTATGTTCCTGCATTCGACATGCGTTGTGTCTCTATTGCTCGACTGGAGACGCCAATTACCCTTGTTGCATTGACCCGCCGCAGATTCCCAACACTGCCTTCATCTTTATAGTCGTACTCTCTTGTCCGCCAGTTCATATCAATGTGAATTCTCCTGTATAGATTTAACTGTCTTCATGTTTCTCAGATAACACTCCTGAGCATGAAAATCAGCTTTGGTTGCCAAGATGTGGCCTCAATTGGGAGCTTCCAGAACACCGTGTTTAAATCTGTGAGTCCATGAATAAATAAACGAGGGAAACAATCGCCACCTTGATCAAAAATTGATTTGGATCCCCATTTTCACAATAATACCAGTGCAGTAGCTGATATTTTT